GTACTTATCTACTACCTTCTACTACACCATAAGCAGCACACTCTGTATTAGTGCAAGAATTAATATCAATAAGAACTTCATTTTGACTTACCCTAATATTACTATTCTATGTGGAAACTAACCATATATAGTAATGTTTACAATGGTATTGAATTTTTAAATAAAATTTTTTAATTGTTAAAATTTACCAAATCCAGTCCAGCACACACCCTAATTCTAAAGTCTATTACCCTCTACTACACCATAAGCAGCACACTCTTCCATTGATAGTTCCGACTGAGGAACTGTTAATGTTACAGTCTCATACTGTGGGAATCCAGCACTCTCTACTACACCATAAGCAGCACATTCTTTTACTGGTAGTTCATAGTCTCCCTCTGACTGTGGAGCTGGTAGATCTACAGTCTCATACTGTGGGAATCTAGTACCTTCCACTACACCATAAGCAGCACATTCTTCCATTGATAGTTCTGATTGTGGAACTGGTAGATGTACATTCTCATAATGTGGATTAACTAATGATAGTTCTTGCTCTTGTGAACCTATAAGTAAACCTTGTTTATAAATGAATAAATAAATTACAGTACTTTGATTGTTATTTTCATTCCTCTTCAGTATTGTAACGTCATTAATTACTTCCATTCTTCCTGTTCTCTTTTTAAATCGAACTGTTGCTGCTACCACTACAATTACTATAACAACTACAATGTACATATTAATGACAACATTTGATTATAATGTACATACCAATTATTATAATTAGTAGTGCAATTGATATCCCAGAAGCCAGACCAATAATTGATGATGAAGAAGATATGGATGAAGGAGCTGTCAATGAAAGAGTTGGAGATGAAAAAGAAGTTATAGAAGTGACTGATGACAAAGTTAAAGATAAAGAAGATGAAAACAAAGGTGGAGTGATGGAGGAAGGCATTGGGGATAAAGAAGAGGCTTTGGATAAAGAAGATAAAGATGAAGATAAAGAAGTTGGTGATAATGAAGATAGGGATGAAAGAGTAATGGATGAAGAAGTTATGGAAGAAGATACTAGAACTGATGGGGGTGTAGCAGTTGAAGTACCTATGTATACAATAAAGTACATTATAACTACACAAATGAACATACACTGTACCTGTCACTAATGTACTAGTTAATCTAGTGGTACGAATAGAAGTAGAACTACTGATGGTAGGAGTATCTGTAGTATTGCTTATGATGGAGCTACTTGTAACTTGTTGTACTGTTGAAGTAGCTGACACTGACAAAGAAGTAGTTGGTACTGATGAAGAAGTAGCTAATGCTGACGAAGTAGTTGTAACTTTTAAAGCAGTTGGTGCTAATGAGGTAGTTAATACTGATGAAGTTGGAATTGTTGAAGTACTTGCTGACAAAGTAGATATTATCAATGATACAGACATCATTGATGGAGTAGTCAATACTGTTGATGTGAGTGATACTGATGATGAATGAACTGATGACATTAGAACTGAAGATGTAGAGTCATTAGTAATATTAATACCAGTTATTACAGCAGGAGGATTAGATTGACAAGTATATATGGTATGCATACAGTGTTAAGTTATTACCAGCTGGTATGTTAGTAATACACTGAATAAAGTTCAACTGATTATTGGGAGATATATTGAAACCATCAATAATATAGTCTACATCATCAGCAAGCAGAATTACATCAATATAAGGTGTACTGCCACTAACATACTGAAACTGAAGACAAGCAGAATTTGATGTGATATTAATTAATGTGAATTCCTGAAGATCATGAGTACCTTAAAATAAGTAAATATCATAATGTATTAATTGTGTATTAC